ATATATATATATATATAGGTATATGTACATGCATGTATATGCAAAAACATACTTGCATGTCTAAACTACGGCTTTTGCAAACCTAACCCGGTGGTTTACCTTGGAAAATCGCATCGTATCAGCGTGCTCGATTATAAGTCTGCTTTCATGTGTCACAACATGTTCGGCATGCTCCGCTACCTCTAAGAAGCTTAACTAACTAACAAGGAGTCTGGCAGGAAACTCGCTGCCTTCGTTAGATGCAATACACATTTTCGCATCATTGAAGACGCAGCACGAAAACCCTCCGAAGTGGCGAAAAACCTGTTATCCGTCCGCGCCAATTTCGCCCAAGGACACCAGCCCATCGATACCCGCTCTCCGCGGGGCCGGCTGGGAATGAGCAGACCACCGCCGCGCGCCGTAGGGGCCTGTGTATCTGGCGGACAGCGAGCCGCACGTCCAACGTGTTTTCCCTGGGGCCGCTCCATTTTCCGTGAAAGAGTTAATTGTGAGCGCTGTCGGGTAAAAAGAGGCGATTTATACTTACTCTGGAACATACGGAAGCTGGCAAAAACTAGGCAGTTCGGCCCAGCGTGTGGTCATCACTCAAAGCTCTGACAAATGAGCCTAGTTGCAGAATAAATGACCACACGAGCTAATGGGAAACGAATGGCCTTTGTTGCAATTTCTGCGGGAATCGACATCCATCATTACTGCCTCCTTGTGATGATGACATAAGCTTTGCTGGCAAAGTTGCCGGTGGCAACACATTCTACTCCCAGGCGCGGATGTTGACATGGGACAGTCCTTGGTGAGCACCAGGAATTGACGGCACCCGCAGGGTATCAAGCAAAAAAGGTTCTCCAGAAATATGGAAAACAAGGTCATCAATCACCTTGATAAAAAACTGAAAGGCAAGTCTTGGGGTCGGCAATGAGGTCACTTCTAATGAGTTTTACAAAGCATTCGGCAAAGTATCCCAAGCTTGCATTGCTATTCTTATCAAATGCATGCTCTCAAATGTGTTTTACGTTTAGAACATTGGAAATAATCCAGCTATTGCTTTGCTGCCCTACAACACAGCGCTGCAGCGAACTCTCATCTCGAAATTAGCACACCCTACTTTGCTGCAATCCATCAATGCACACTGATCGTATTTCTCGTTATAATTAATCAAAGCACGAACAGCATTAGCCCTTGGGTTTCGATGCACCTCACGCCACGGCTTGTCCACCCAGTCGCACCGCTCGGTCGGCTGCCGCATATCCGTCACGGGGGAAGGCCGCGTGTGTATACCCAAATTAGCCGGGGGTCGCGCCGAGGACAGGGGCGCGCGGCCGACCCCTCTGACCGCGTGTTCAGCCCGCCGTCGCCGCAGAAGGGTGGCCGGCCGGGGCGTCGCCTTGCCGGCGGCTGAGGGGGGGGGGGGGGGGCGCGGGACGCCGCCGGTCCCAGTGACGTCAGCGCGTGCGTGTGTGTGCACTGGTGCGGCCAGCGCGCCGCGCGCCGCGTGCGCCGTCAATCAAACGAGCACTTAGCATAAACGCGCTGATGGCATTAGCTGCGCATGCGCTGATTACTCCCGGTGGATAACAATGGTTAAATTTATTAGCTCGTGCGTATAATGTTACATGCTATCTGGATGACGAGCACTACGCAGAGCACATTCGAAAGATATGCCATTGAGGTAGTCTGTTCACATCAAAGTTGGCACCCGCCAGGGTGGCCGGTTGGGTATCCTTCGCTCGGGTGGGGGTCAGTTTGGCCCTCTGAGATCTCAGGAACTAAGAGGTTCCTAGGTGACAACCTTCGGGTTAAATAAGGTCGAACAAGACCGAATTCCCTGTGCTAAGCAAAAGGTCACATGCTCATTCAATGTCAGTGACCACGTTTAACCTTTTCAAATTCATGGTGGCCAACATCACACCAGACCACCTTGAGTTTTGCATTTGATTAAGTGACAAAGATTACGAACAAAACGTTGACCGGGGTCATTTTAGCTCAGTTACCTATTCTGACATTTAAGAAGTCCATGAAGGTTGTGTAATGTGGTCTCTGTCATCAATAAATTCGAAATGAGCACCAGAAAACACGCCATACAGCAATCCCTAGAGTAAAAGAGCAGGTTGGTTTTGACCTTGGTCTGACCATCATACCTGACCCTAGGTCAATATAAGTTGCTCCTTCAATTGTTGTGGTGCCTGAGAAAGCATCGCAGAGATGTATAGTTTCACCCAAAATTCCGTTATTGGATCAGATTGAAAGATTCCCTGAAAATTACCTTTGCTGAAACCGTGGCCTCATTTTGACCTGTCATAGATCAGCGACCTGACAAGGTACATCTAATTTTGTATGCTAGACGATTGGCTATTCAATGGTCTAAAGCTATGCAAAATTTGGTGACGCCACGCCACGCCGTTCGGAAACCATTCCGGAAAAACCGGGAGTCAATTTGACCCCCGCTCGAGCGCGTGTGAACGCGCGCCCGGGTGGCCGCCCTGATACCCTTCGCTCGGGTGGGGGTCAATTTGACCAACCCCCTTTGACATTTCAGGAACTAAGAAAGCTAGAAACATCAAATTTACAGGGTGTATTGACCTGTACGTCAACTCACTCAGGTCAAAGTTTCAGGTTCCTAGATTATGACCTTCGGGTCAAAAAAGGTCAAGCAAGGTCAAGTTCCAGGTTGGTCTCCACAGTCCTCCAGAACCTAGATAACCGTTTCTAAGCAAAAGGTCACATTCTCACCCGAGGTCAGTCAGTTAAGGTGACCAAAAGCATACAAGATTGCCTTGAGTTTTGCATTTGACTAAGCGACAAAGACTACGCAAGGCAGCATATTCCAAAAACAAAATGCTGACCTGGGTCATTTTAAGTCAATGACTCATTCATGACATAACAAGACACACCATCATGTAATTTGCTCATTAAACTATTGTGTTGCCTAAGAAAGCATCTCAGAGATGTATGGCTTCGTTTAACACTCCGTTGTTGGATCAGATTGAAGGATTCCCTAGAAATTGCCTTTGCTGAAACCACGGTCTGCCTTTGACTTGCCATTGGTCAACGACCTTACAAGGTACATCTAATTTTTTGATGCCAAACGATCCACTATTCAATTGTCTATAGTTATGCAAAATTTGGCGCGGCTACACCGCGCCGTTCGGAAACCATTCTGGAAAAACCTTCGAGGGGGGGGTTAATTTGACCCCCGCCCGGGCACGTGTTAAGCTATAACCAGCCAAACCGTCCTTAGGTCAGGTAAGCAGGTGCGGCTCGCAGCATGTTACCATACATCCAGTCAGGATTCAGTATTACCTTTTATTGTCTTGCTATGGACTTTTTCAAGTCCATAGCAAGACGATCATCAAAGCTTCGTTCGTTCATCTTCCCAGCTTTGGCTGTGATGAATACGTTGATTTGTAGCGATAATGGCTGGTATTTGGGTCTCAAACCTCTGACAAAAGTGTGTGTGTATGTGAATATATATATAAATATATATATATATATATATATATATATATATATATATATATATATATATATATGTGTGTGTGTGTGTGTGTATGTGTATGTGTGTGTGTGTGTGTGTGTGTGTGTGTGTGTGTGTGTGTGTGTGTGTGTGTGTGTGTGTGTGTGTGTGTGTGTGTGTGTGTGTGTGTGTGTGTGTGTGTGTGTGTGTGTGTGTGTGTGTGTGTGTGTGTGTGTGTGTGTGTGTGCGTGTGTGTGTGTGTGTGTGTGTGTGTGTGTGCTCCAACATACTTTGAGGAGTATATGCAACAAAGAAACCAATGCGAATGATATGAATATGTCAGCATGTACAATGAATATTTTCTAAATCCTGCTCTTTTTCTGCCCACGTAAAGCAGAGCCAAGCACCAAAAGCTAATTCCTAAGCTTCTGAACAGATATTGGGCTGTTATTTTTTTATAAGCTTTGCAGAATGGTCTGCTCGAGTAAGCGGGTCCAGTCCGTCTGTGCTTACGAAGTGAATTTTTTGGGTGCGCCACGAATCCATTAGCCAAATTGTGGCGATCCAGTCAAGGAACAATTTTATGTGAGGCGCAGTTTTGCCCCACGACCTGAATTGACCATTGTGAACCAGTTGCCAACTGACCTTGGCTGTCGGCCGTGCCAAAGAATGTACCCGCCCTGGAACTGGGTAGCCAGTGCTGCTGGTAAACAAGTTCAGCGTCCCTCCTCCAGACCAAGGAAGAAACGAGAAATAAATGCAGCCAAATAAAGAACAAATTAGTTAGATAATGTCAACAGGTGTCCCTATTGCCATTCCCATCACATCGCTGTGAGCGCTTACACATCTTTTCTTAAAAACGCATTTCTTCGGCGAACCAAAACTACAACGGTGCTGTGTGAAACTAGTTCAGAACCATCAGTCGGGATTATCCGGTATTTCAGCCGAGTAGTACAGATAATCAAACCGGATTCAGCCGGATTGGACGTAGTCCCGTCTCCGCCGTAGCCACGGCCGACGTAAGCCGTATCACTCGCGCTCGCTACAACCCCGTATATGCGTGCATCCATACGCTGTCCCTCTCACCGACGAGTGACCTGATCGGGGATGTCACGTGACCCGGGTGTCCCCACCGCCACTGCTTGGAGCGTCGTCGGGTGAGCCTGGAGTGGTCGCTCTTTAGCGAGCGCCGACGCGGCCCCCACCCCTCCCGATGCGTCCTGGGAAGCACTGTTTACACGTTTCGTTGGTCAGTAAGGCAGATGTACCCCACAGTGGGCACCGACGACGCGGAGAACATCAAGGAAGGGGCTGAGGGACTAGAGGGTCTGCTACTGACACTACGACCGCGATGAGGACGACGCCGTGTGATCCTGCGCTGGTTCACCGCGCGCGCAGCAGACTCCCAAACCAGCGTTACTTCCCCCGCCTCCGGCCAGGCCGACAGCGGCCGCCTCTCTTCGCCGCCTGGACGCGCCCCTGAGACCGAGCGGCCATGGCCAGCGGAGGCGGGCGACTGGTGCCGCGCAGACCAGCACCAGCTGGAGCTCGTGACATTCCCGGCCGGCGCTGCTCTGTGGGACTCTCTGGCTCTCACCCAGCCTGTCAGGTCCGCTCCCCCCAGCTCCCAGCCCCGCCTCTCCCACCTCTCGGCCGCCTCCGCTGCCTCTCATCACACCGAAAGCAGCTACCTGAGCTCAACGCCTGAGGACGACACATCCAGAGCTGAGACTGGTCAGCTGCTCTTTAAATCAGGTACGTTTTTGCTTTGGTCACACGCAGGCGTCGTAGTTCAAGCGTAGAGTTCGGGACGCGAGGTGGTTTTTGCTGCCTCTGGCCACTGCCTGCGCCACGGTCAGGACAATTAGTGACTACATTTTTCGATGCACGTTTGGCGGTGTAAACGTGACTGAAGTTATTCCGCCTACGACGTGATGATAACTCACTGGCGACAGGCCATACGGCTTTCAGAAGAGAACGAGAGGTTAAGTGGTAGCCAGAACTGCAGCCAACATTTGACTGCAGTGACGTCTCAGGAGACGAAGCCAGGCCACGACCTGAAAACGACGAAAGCCACTGTCCGAGGGGGGGGGGGGGGGGCGCGGACGGCGGTGTCGTTCAAGACGAGAGTGGAATGTGCCAACCAAGTGTCCACAGTTAGCGTCATAGCGTGTCGCCTCCACCGATGGAGGGGGCTTTCAGTAGGCGTCCTCTGTCCCCAGGTGCCTGCCGCTCCAGACCACGGAGGTGCACTGCGGCAGCCTCTCCTCGCGCCCCGGCACCACAGCCGCCATGGAGGGCCGCCTGCAGGAGGTGTTCACGGTGAACGCGTTCACGGCGTCGCCGTTCGCCGGCAACCCGGCCTCCGTGTGCCTGCTGGAACTGGAGCTGAGCGAGGAGCAGCTGCAGGGCGTGGCGGCGCAGATGAACCACTCGGAGACGGCCTTCGTGACACGGCTGGACACCGGCGCCGCCTTCCAGACGGCCGACACGTTCCAGCTGCGCTGGTTCACGCCGACGACCGAGGTGCAGCTGTGTGGCCACGCCACCCTGGCGGCGGCCGCCGTCCTCTTCAAGGTGGGGGAAACACGGCTCGGGCCGCGACACTGGAGGTACCGGGTCCACCAGCGCAGCGTAAACTGCGAATAGCAGAATCAGCAACGTACAAATTGTGAATAACTAAAGGCATTTACGTAGTGAGCTACCCAAAGGCTGAAGTTTGCTCGAGCCTGAGTAGCACGGTGTTGTTTCTCGCAAGCAGTCATTGCAGGGGACAGGCTTGACGAAAGCGAACAACGCCAAACGATCAGCGGAAGAAAGCTATCAATCACGCGCAACGATACACGCTCACACGCTAATTACATGAATTCAGCAAAGCTCCAGCAGCCTGCCCGTTTTCTGTCCAACTCTTCCGATTGAAATGCGTCATTTACAGACCACCGACCTCAGACCTCGCCGCTGTGGGTCTGGCTGTTCGTTCCACGACCACAACCATCCCCATGACCATCCCCTTTCCCTCCCCATGACCATCCCCATGACCATCCCCTTTCCCTCCCCATGATCATCCCCATGACCATCCCCTTTCCCTCCCCCTGCGCCAGGCGGTGGAGAACCAGCAGCCGAAGCTGACCTTCATCACGCGCTGGGGGCTGCACCTGACGGCTCGCCGTGACGGGGACCGGATCGAGCTGGAGCTGCCGCTGAACCCGCCGCAGCCGCTGCCGGCCGACCGGCACCAGCAGCTGGCCGCCGCCGTCTGCGGCGAGCTGCCGGTGGCGGACAGACAGCTGTCGGCCGCCACCGGCAAGCTGCTGCTACGGCTGGCCGACAGCTGCACCGTGCAGCAGCTGGAGGCGCTGAAGGTGAGCGACGGCGCTCCAGCGCGCTGTGTTTTACCGGGGAGATTTGTCTGAGTCAGGCTTTGTTGTGTCACCGGCCGGGCACCAACCAGCCGACCCGTCTTCGTTTTCGTGTTCTCATGACCTGACGTCTCGGTTGTCCCTAGCCTGACCCGTCTTATCGGGTATAAGTCTGAGCCACCCGAAGCTGACCTTCATCACGCTTCATCACCCGCGCAACTGCCGAGGTCTTCCGCGTCACATCCCTCACACGCACCACAGCCGAGACCACCGAAGGGCAGACGGCCATAGCCTATCTTGTGCCCCCGGACGGCAGGCGCCGCCGTCATCACGCAGACGTCAGCCAGCCGGCGGTCCCTCCGCCGCCTCTCGCGCAGCGCCGCCCCCTGAGACCGCGTGCCGTGCCCTCAGCCGGACGTGGGCCAGCTGACGCGCCTGCACGACGGCGGCGAGGTGCGCGGCGTGATCGTCACGGTGCGCGGCGGCGGCCAGTTCCACTGCCAGAGCCGCTACTTCGCGCCCTGGGTGGGCATCCCGGAGGACCCCGTCACCGGCTCGGCGCACACCGTGCTGGGGCCGTACTGGGCGCGCCAGCTGGGCGTCGAGAGGCTCTCGGCCCGTCAGTGCTCGCCCCGCGGCGGCCAGCTCGCTGTGGCCGTCGACTGGGCGGCGGGGCGGACCCGTGTTGCCGGAGAGGCTGTCATTGTGCTCCGGGGACAGCTGCGCGTCGCCTGACGGGTTGAGAGGTACTGAGCGGTCCTGAGGGGTCCCGGGAGGTCCGCAGAGGTCCTGAGGAATCTCGTTAGGTCCAGAGAGGAACCCGACGGATCGCCTGGCGCCGGACTGGTCTGGAGGACTGCGACCTCTTCGTCGTCGTCCTCGGTCTGAAGTAGCCTCGCCTGTCGGTTGCCTGGGAAGCCAGCCAACCCCCAGAGAAGACCTGGGTTGTCAGATCTGGCCGGTGTCTGAGGGCTCTGCAGGTCACTTGATGATCCACCGATGCCCGAAAGGGTCCCCATATCGATAAGGGAGTTTGTTGGTCATTCGAAGGCTTTTAACGTGAACAGAAGGTTTTTTGTGGATGCATAATGAGCCTGTCGTCGTGCAGTGGCATATATCAGTGGTTACGGAAGTCAATACATATATGTACAACATCCCACATAAAACGGCCGGAGAGTTTGATGTAACGGCTGCACGGCGCTTTCACCTGTGTTGGGCACGGATTCAATGAACGTCACCTTTACATTAACATGACGTACCCACCACTGCTAACAATGAGTGAACCATGACAAAAGCAGACGATTAAATTTGTCAGCGCTATGCTTGTGTTATAAACATGGGCCTCATTTCAAGAGTGAACACATACCGCTTGCCAGTGCCTGAATGCAAAGTTGAATGAAATAAGAACATAACTGTGTACCATTATTTAAGAATGATATGCCCAAGTTCCGTGGTTTCCTGTAGTTTCTCAGCGATTTAAGCTAAAAATTGCAGCTACTGCAAACACAAACGATATTTATACTGATTTGTATCATACAATGATTTTGGAGACTACTTGGGGAGCTGGTATGGAATGACCACTTGTTCAATATTCTACGCCACAGGCAATCCACCGCGGGCAGCCTGCTGGCTTCCAGCCATCGCAGCGTATTTGTAAGGAACATAAAGGTAAGAACCAAAGGCTGTCATCGTTCGCTGCATCATCACACTCGATTCACAGTGACACACGATGACGTTCGGAATCCCACCAGCACACAACGCTAACCCGCAGTAAACACGCAATCATTCGACACCGAAGCCCAAATCCGAGTGAATAGCGGCGTGCGAGCTCCACCTGTGCAAGCAAATGGGCCCAATAGAGCTTGTCGTTGCCAAATGCGCGGAGTGTCGCCGGGGTGAAACACTGCCTCCAAAAAAATTCCCAAGGTCGGCCGCCGCCTCCGGCGCTGGCGCAAGAAGAAGCAGAAGAAGTGTCGGAGTCGGTCCTGTTTTGCACGCGCCCCACGATCGTGACCCAGATATTGATTTCCGCCTATTCTGGGGCGCTGGTGCGCACGATGCTCGATATGAATAATGATGGGCGAGACGTTTCTGCCGCGACGGTGACCTGATTCTGCGTCCATGGCACCGCCTTGTGGCAAGCTTAGTAGGTTGCGGCAGTTTGCGAACATGCAATACAAGTGTCTCGAACATCATCAGTCAAAAGCTGAGGGCAGATAACCCGCTGCTCGTGGCATAAGCGTTCCTTCCTTCGCCGATTCGAAGGAAAAATGAATTGAAAATAGCGGCAGATTTACTAGAGACATTTCCTTTCAAACGTCATAACTGATTCAACCCTGTTTTGTGCAGAGATTTTCGCTTCGATTACCTGTTGGCTGGCATCAGTCTGACCTAGAGACCTCAAAATCTACCGAACTAATTCTGTCGCTTGAGCGCTGAAACTGTCCACAAGAGTGTGAGCTCTCCTAGACATCCGCACGGTTTACAAATGCTGTCAATGGCACAATGACAATGGGAAAGGTAGGGTGAATGTGTTTTGAAATGCTCTAAGCTTAGTGGATCATCTGGCATGTCGTATTAGAAAATGTATTTCAACACCAAAGTAAAGATGAACATCTGAGCATTTTCACTTACGTTCCATGTATGCGCTGAACTTCTGAATTAAACTTCTCAACTGAAGTGAATTTCTTATCATTGCTAGGCGCGGAACATGTGCTTGGGGATAAGTTTTACCGATGGTGGAGGCCTCTCAGCCTACTGTGCTTACCCGGCGCACAGGTAGCTGGCCAAAGCTGCAAACCCACTCAGCGATCCCAGGTTTACCAGAACGAAAGCTTAAAATGGCCACTGGTGGGCGTAGCAAGGCGCATGCATGCCACGTCAGGTCCGATTATCTCGAGACGAAATAGGTTACCAGAATAAAACACATGAATTCGTTGTTAATGATACTTAACTCGGCCCGTGCCATGTTATCATAGACATGCACAAAAGGCGTTGAAACGATGCATAGATCGTCGTAGCATGAGCACCAGAATAGCTGCAAAAGCCTCGAGCTGCCTCCTGCAAAATGTCAGCAGTCGTCATCGCACTTATTTTTGGCCATTTTACGATTCTCGGTATTGCTGTGGTCATGAGGACAGACGGCTCGTATTTGCCGCGGCTGCACCGCCGGCGGCAAGCCCCGCAACATCGACATCGACAACATCGACAACACGGTCCCTGCGCGAGCGCTGCGGCTGTTGACCGCTCCCCACCCTTGTGCGGAGCTATCACTTCGTGGAGAGGCTTAAAGCGAGTGACCCACGTATGCGTGCTTTGCTAACTAACGTAGACAGTTTGAAGATCATTCGGTGCACTTCAGAGTCCCGACGTTCTTGAATCTTAAAGCCCTCTAGTTTCTGGGCTACACACGCGCGATTTGCGGACTATTTCGTACGGACTATTTCAGGGCCATTCAGGCATGCATGACGCCATAGCAGCCCAATTCAAATCATGACACCCCATAGGCCATGCGGCGCTCAAGGACAAGCAGAAAATCGCCGTCGAGCCGTTCAGATCTGGCGTCCGTGAGCACGACTTCCAAATGTAGTGGACGTCATTTGGCTCCCAAACGATGCTAAGCAGCCTGTTTCACTTTCCATCGCGAATCACGATTTATGCTAAAAAATAAGGGAAGCTGGACATGGTTGCTGGTTATTACGGAAATGATATTTGGAATCGCCTTCCTTAAGAATAGCGCTATAACTGAACATGTCAAGGGAAGAAAACATCTTAAACTCGTAGGTGAATATGAAAAACCTCAAGAGAAATTGCCAAAACGCAAACATGCAACGATATTAGGTTCAGTGAGCACTCTCAGACCGCCACTGTTGCCTCTCGGCGAGTTATATATGGTTGTCGGCGAAGTAATGCGTGCGAGTGCTGGGGTGGCAATCTCGCACGGTTAGATTGGCAACACCATGTAATATTATTGATAGCACAAGCGCTCCATGACGCAAACAAACATTGATGTATTATACAAATTATATTATATAAATTTGGAAATTGTGTCGTCTAAAACAGTCTTTTCCACTTAAAACACACAAATTATTATAAACATGATTGGTGTTGTTATGATTGTTGTTAGAATTGTATCATGTCTGATGATTGCTTTAATGCCTTCACATGCGAAATATTCCCATTATTCCCAGAGTTAATTTGACGGGTCTTGCACATCAACGAAGCCACCGTTGTCAATACAAGAGGGCACGCGTGGACGATTGGCATTTACTTACCCTTACACACACAGTACGGACTGAAGAGTATTTAAATACGTCTTCATACTGGACAGTCGCTGCTGATTATCAAAACTTGACGAAATTGAGTTCCCAAAAGTCGTTGTAAATAACGCCTCCTTCAGACCGACGAATGCAAAGTCACATCAGGTCTTCATAACGCAAGCGATTGACTTGTACAATACAGCCATTGGCTGACTGACAGCAGGCACGGCTCACGCGCCAGCCTATCATCTATCAGCAACAGCACGCGAACCAGTACCTGACCACAAACATGACCGACGCCTGCCGCGCTGCCACGCTGTCCCGGCGGTGGCGATGGTGTGACGGCCTGGTTCACACCCGTCACCTGACAGTGTTACAGCCCGGCTCACACCTTCCCCCGACGGTGTGACGGCCTGGTTTACCCCTGTCACCCGGCGGTGTGACAGCTCGGGTCAAATCTGTCATCCAGCGGTGTGACGGCTCAACTCACACCTGTCACCCGGCGGTGTGACGGCCCAGCTCACACCTGTCACCCGGCGGTGACGGCCCAGTTCGCACCTGTCACCCGGTGGTGTGGCGGCTCGGATCACACCTATCACCCAGTGGTGTGACAGCTCGGCTCCCACCCGTCACCCGGCGGCGTCGGTGGCCCGGGCGGCGCCACGCGTCGGCGTCGGCGGCGGGTGACGCCGCGCGCCGCCTCCCGGCTCTCCCTCGACGCCGCTAAAGCCGCCCGCCCAGCCCGGGCCGCGCCGGCGTCAGTCGGTGGCGGGCGGCGGCAGGTGGCGGACGCCACGTGGACGATGTCCCTGCGCCACGTGCTGGTGGCGGCAGCGGTGCCCGTGCCGGCCGAGGTGGACCGCGAGGCTCGTTGCCAGCCGTTCGTGCATCAGCTGCTGCGGTGGGACCGCGTCATCAGCAGGGTGTTCGGCCACGTCCGGGTCACCGCCGGCAGACGCGACTCTCGGGATGCAGGTGAGTGGGGACGGTGGAGTACTTGCTTGTGGAGATGGAAAATGCCAACGAGCTTTATGGGTCAGATCCTTTTCTTCATCTCACTCAACACCTTTGGCTTATTTATGGTGAAGAAATCCAAATGGTATATCATAGTTGGTCGAGGAACCATGTGAATATAAAATAAAATGTTGCTGTATGGGATCCAATTAAATGAGCTAAGCAATAGACCACAATGGTCACTTTCTGAAGTGTTATGGTGAAAATACCGGGGATCCATGGGGAAGTTGTGAGATCCTGGCTCCTATAGACGTTGAAAAGGCATACCCTATATTGCAACGTTTGGTTTGGGGAAACTGAAAATGTAAAAAGTAGATTTCTTCCTTTTCTCGAATACATGAAGCTTATCACGCCGTTGACTGCAGACTCGCCCAATTTCATGCACCTGTAATACCAGCATGTGAGCCAGGCGGTCGTGACATTCATTTAGATCCTTTTCTCATCATTGGACGCTGGGTGATCGCTCTCAGTTTCATAAGTTCGGATCAACGCTTCATGAGGACCATTGATGCCATGTCCCGCACGTTCGACCGTCAACGCAAAACGCAACGCAACTGCAAAACCGCCCAGTTGTAGGTTAGGTAGATTGTTTCCGTGCAACAACTAATGTATTCCCACCCGGTTTAAAGGTGAAATGCTCCAATTCTTTCAGCAGTTACATGTGGTATATTCTTAATGCAGGACGAAACGTCAAGTGTACTAGTAAATGCGATTGAACGCACTATGGTCGCTGCGAACAGATCGCATCCATCTAAGCATGTCAGGTGCATTCAGCTAGATGATTGGATCACATTCATCCTAGTTGTCGCAAAGATGCGTCCGAAGTACTGCATCATTGGTGGCTGCTGAATTCTTCAATCACCGTCAACTTTGACCGCTGATAATGAAGTTCACAAATCTAGTTCTCGTCCTGTAGCCGTGTGTCAGGCGCTGACCAAAACCTACGTCATTTCCCTTCCGCCGTCTGCCTCGTAGGTACCCTGTTAGCCGCGGAAGACCTGACAAAGTCACCTCGCATGAAGAAGATGTCTGTACCGGCTCGGCTGCCTGACCTGCTGCAGATGACCGCCGAGGAGCGGGGCCCCAGCCCGCCGCCGGGACCGGCCG